GGGCAGGGGAGGGGGTGCGTAATGGAGAGGCACCGAGTCGCGGCCTCCCCGGCCTCCCTTGGCACCTTCTCGTCACCCGGCCTCCCCGGCCTACCCTGCCCATCGAACGGAGCCCAGCACGTGGAGGAGCAGGGCGCAGGCCACTAGGCCTCACTACACCCAGAAAATTATATTCTTGAAACAAGGCCAAATGTCTTGCATGAAGGTCTTTTATGACCTTAAAAATAATGGAAATTTTCCTTTTAAGAAGTGTCGTTAAAATAAAGAAAAAGTTTCGTGAGATTTCCCGAAATTTACTTGACAACAATGGAAATGCCATAAACCAAGGATAAGTTTCATTGTATTTTTTAAAATGCATTTTCCTTGGTTTAAGGGTACCATTCTCTAGGTGTAGATGCCGTCGGTACGTGAGGACGTCGTGCTGGTGACGCGGACCGTAAAACTCTATCATCTGAATCATTTGTTCACGCGAGCTGTTTCTTGGAAGCGCCTATCTGACTGCGAGTTGGTGGCACGAATCGGTCAGGTGGCCCGACGACCCTCTCACTTCCTGCACCAGCATGTCGCTTTCTGGGCGAGGTGAGGACGCAGTGAGCAGAGTTGTATGTGTACGCACGTACTTGTGCCGTGAGGCAGCGAGGAGGACCCCGCACCCTGATCGTGGGGAGCCCAGAGAAGGAGAGGAAAGCCCGGCCCGGCCTACGCAAAGGCCCCACCCCCTCTGCTGCGGCATATTCTGCTAAGATAAATATACAATATTTTCTGCTCCTTCCGCCCCGCTGTTGTGCTATCGCACATTGCGCCCCGCGGCGCAACCGCGGGGGTCGCGTGGTTTTCTCCCCCCCCCCCCACTCCCACACGTGCCGTTGGACTTCCCTGCAGCCACGTAGTACGCCCGCGCCCGCTCCGCCTCCCCCGCGGATTTGGCTTTACCTTTGGCGATGTCGCTAGCAGTTAGCCGCCGCGCCCCGCCCACGCCCCCCAGCCCGTCAGCAACCATTAAGGCACGTCCGTTCTATAATTCGCCGCGGCGCTGAGGTGCTGCTTCAGCCTGATCGACGGCACGGGGGTAGTCTGCGCGGGGCCCTCCTCGTACTCGTGCTCTTACTTTGTGCGCTCGTGCTCCTGCTCGTACTTGTAAAGTTGGTGCACTAAATGTAGACAACCTGGCAGGGCAGGACAGTCCCTATTGTGTGTGAGTACAATGGAGCCCTATTGTACCCACAATGGGGACTGGCCTGCCGTGGTGTCTACATTTAGTGAACCAACTATACTCGTGCTCGTCCTAGTGCTCGTGCTGCGCGGAGCTCTCTTTATGCTCGTGCTCGTGCTTGTACTCCTGCTCGTGCTGCGCAGGGCCCTCTTTGTGCTGACGTGTTCGGCGTGCGCGCGGGCGGGCGGGCGTTGCCAGTCCGTGTTCGCTGTAGGACGGGCGCCCTGCGCCCTCCACACTCGGTCCGGTCCGGCCCCGCTGTGCGAGTCACGTCCCTTACGCAGATGGCCGGGCCTCTGCGCCGGAGCCGGCGCTAAACACCGTGATTAGGAGCCGCTGGGGGAGGCCGGGGGAGGCGCCCTATCCGGCGCGGGCGGTATGGCACGGCGGCGGTGGGCCAGAATGTTTAAAGGGCGACCTTCGGGGGAGGAGGGCGTTGTGGCCGCGCGTGTCCTTGGGTCGTTGTCCTGCGGGGCGGGGCCAGGGCCCCTGGGCCAGGGCCCCTGTGAAGGTCACGCCGCACCGTGACCGCAGGGCCGCAGGGCCGCGCAGGGCACTGCAGGCCGCCGCAGAGGTGTCCTTGGATCCAGACTGATGCGTGGCCATGAAAGGGGAAAGAAATGGTGTGGCGGCGCGGCGCGGTGCGGCGGTGGGAACAGCTTTACAAGAAAAACGTGTCGCTATCATGGGAAAGACGTTCGTGCGGTGCAGCGGCCTGCAGCGGCGCAGCGGCCCGGCAAGGCCAGCGAGAGTGCAACGCAGTGCGGCGCAACGCAACCCGGCCGGCCCGGGAACTCAGACCAACCGCGTCCAAAGTCACTCGGGCGACGTGCTTTTAATAAACGCGCCGCACGAGGACCTCACACAACCTCACACCGCCGTCGTTGGGCTCACCTCGGCGTGTCAAGCACGGAAAATTGCGTACTCGGAAATCTGCTAATTAACAGTTTCGTTCCGAGTCAGCAGCGTCAGCAAATGGGGACGGCCCCGTTTGTAGCTCCAGTTGTAGCTACAACCACGGCCACAGAGTTAATACGGCGTAGCTCGCGACCGCTCGCGACTTACACCGTTTCTTGTTTCAAGCACATTTTTTCCTTGTTTCAAGTAAATGCAAACCCAAGATCAATTTTACTCCTGAAACAAGCTGAAATTATCTTTCGAATAAGAGAAAAATCTTATTCCTAAGACAACATTATTGACTTGTTTCAAGTGTGAACTAAACTTTGGAACAGCATGCTCTTGAAACAAAAAACCGTATATCTGGGTGTATGGTGCTTTACCATCGAGGTCGACAGGGGACAAGGCAGTAGAGCCAGGGTTCGACCGGAGAGGCATAGCTATCTGTGCAACTCCGAGCAGCGTACGGTGCCGAGCACAGCAGCTCGACGACACGGAGGTGCTATATGGGGCCTCATCCGGCCGCGAAGAGTGCAATTCCAAAAGTGTTTTGGCGGTGTCCTCACCTGTGTCTGTGTGTCTCAATGCCCATCCTGCTTGGCGCGAACGGCGCGCGCTCCTCGGTCAGCGCGTGAGCATGAAACACGCGCCAGCGCAGCCAGGGCTTGTACTCGGGGAAGGATGGGGGCGTAGCCGGAGTTTCCGGTTTCCACTCGGGTCCGCGCAACGAGAGGCGGCGCCGCGCGCCTCTACCGAGTGGGGCTCGACAATCACGTGTGTGTCTTCTCCCTTTCGCTTGATTCGGCGCACACGACCACCCACACGGCGGCGGAGTGGGGGCGCGCGGGGCAAGGCGACACGAGCCCTTCTCTTTTTGGTGTTGCGCGTCGTTACACGTCTCCCCGTCTACAACAAGAGAGGAGAGACCGGATAGCGAAGACAAACTCCCCGTCGTTGCGTGCTTGGTCACATTATTAAAAAGGCTGTCATATCCGCCTCCGAATAATGTACCAACATACTTACTTTATTCCAAATCTTTACTACTCGACACCTGAGACTGGAGGAGAGGTTTACTACTCGACACCTGAGACTG